AAACTATCTTTCGAGAGAGTATCAATTAGAGAAAACATAGGCATGGGGATTGGTAAACGGATGTTGCATGGATTGATTCAATCATATAATAACACAAACGTAGGGTATAATTTGCTAACTCATATTATTTAACTCATATAGGCACATATTCTGTATATTGTTGTATGTGTTTGCAATGAGAACTTGCACAACATCTTTTTGTCTTACCCTCCCGTTTCTGTGGGGTTCTCATGGAAATTAAGGGAAATTAAGTTGTTCATTTTATAGAACATCGGAGCAAAGCATTAACACTTAATGAATACATGTAATCCTCACATTATAGCCATTCCCATTGATATCCCGATTATTGTCACTTCGGGGTTTCCAATGCAAAACTATGAAATGTGCATAGAACTTGCAAGTATGACCCAAACACATAAATATTCATGAAACAAATGCGGTTCAAATATGAAAATCATATCACTCGGGCCCTAGCGAGAAGCATTATGCATAGCAAAGTCATAACAATATCAATCTCAGAACCTAAATGACACTAAGCATCAAACCCTAACAAATATGGTAACTATTAGATGATGTTCTCATCCAATTTCCATCCACCTCATGTGCCTACATGAGATTACTCACACATGGACGGGAGAAACACAGTGGTGATGATGAATAAGGAGTTGGTGATGTTGATGATGAAGATCTGCTCTCTTCAAAGGTCAAATCGGCCTCTAGATAACCCTCCACGAAGAAGACAAATTAGCGGTTATCTTCGCCCCGTAGAAAATTAGGGAAAATCTTTATCGAGTTTTTAGGACGAGATATGATATATAGGTGAAAGAGGTCAGCCGAAGGATGCCTATGGCCCTCACTCACCCCTTGGCATGCCCCTAAGCTTGGGTATGTGGGCCTTGTGGGCAACCCCTTATGTCTCCGTGTCTCCTTTTCCTCCAACTTCCCCAAAAGTTATTTTTTACAATATTTGTTTTCCTTTATAAAAAGATAACACCAATACAATTTTTTTAAAACAACGCCAGCCCGGTCAGTTCTTATTCAAATTGTGCAAGATGGAGGACAAAAGATAGAAGTGTTCAAAAAAGTATTAAAGTATCACGGTGGAGAGCGAAGACCGTGATGGAAGAGAGGAAGGACAAGCAGAGGATTGTAGTCTTGCATCCAGGAGAAAATACTTGCAATGAAAGTCGATGAGCAGATGATCAATAGGAAGATCGAGGAGCACCAAAATCGTGCTCATGGATGCCGCCACGATGGTTGAAATGGTGAGACAATATGGAATGTTCTTTATGGTGGTGCTAGTGGTTGTGAGAATGAGAGTGCACGATTTGGTGAATTTTGATGAACTATGTGATACGTGGCGGCTCTTGATGAACTATGTTGGAATGCAATGCCTTTTGGATGACTTGTGTTCATATTTGTAGTTGAATTGTTGAATGCGGTTGATGAGCATATTCTTATAGCACTTTTTATGTATCCTTTTTACTAAGTATGTCCCGACTTAGGCTCATTTGTGGAATATATGAACCCTAAAGGACTATTTAAAGCATTTGCTTTACATTTGCAGGATGGGTGCGCCAAGGCACCATAATCCCTGCTGATTACACAAGAGACAGTCAAGATGACTATAAGGACCAACTAGCAAGCTTGTCAGGAGAAGAAGGACCTAAGCGAAAGATTGACTGATCAAGTGTGGACTGCTTGGGTAATTAAGATAGCATCTAACGATATCATTAAATTCTTGGGTCCCTAGTATGTCCATTTTCTTATTATAAATTACTCCTCATTGTCACTATTTTGCACATTATAACTCAATTCTAATAGTTTTTCCTCTCGGTTTCCATGATTTACTAGAGGATGAGAATTGCTGGAAAGCTGCAGAACATGAGCAAAATAAGGACGAGTGGAGAAAAGAATTTTCTAGAGACCAAATAATTACAAGAAAGTTATATTAAATACTTTCAACATGGAAGTGAGCCAGGGGCACCTGGGCCCACTTGGGAAGACCCATGCAGGTCCCACATGGCCACCCCTGAACGCTTGGTGTGGGTGCGTGGGGCCCACAGGTGGCTTCCCAGTTGCCTTTGGTGCCCAATGGCCCTACGAAAGTGTAATCATAATGCCCTTAATCATATTTTGACCTACAAATTGCTTCGGCATCCGTCCGCGGGCATGGGGACCAGTCCACAGACACGGATGTGGTAGTTGGCCATCCATTGTTGCCTGCATACATTTTAAGTTGGGTTTCAACTAACCGAACGATTTTCGTGCAAACACGGTGGGTTTTCATCAAAGTTCGGATAAAAAATAGCACAAATCATCCATACATAGCATGCAAATAAGTCTAGTACAACAATAGTTCATATTCAACGAGATTAAGGATCATGTCATCCCACACATACTGCCCCTTCAACATCATCCAACTATGCATGTGCATAAATGGTCGTACCTCCATCCGGTGGTACATCACGGCAGCACGTGAGGGCTAGAGCATGTGTAGAGCAACATTGAATGAATGAATGAATCAATCAACAAATTAAGCAAGAAGAAGCAAAACTTACGATCTCCTCTATCATGCGCAATGGCCACTTTGCCTCCAGCATATCAACCGTGCCACAAAACTTGGTGATGGAGGTCTGGATGGCGTACCATCGATACGATAACAACCTCACATTGCGATCATGGATGATGTGCATGTCGTAGGGTGCAATATTCATGCACTTGTTGCTAGAAGGTCCCCCCCCTCTGTTCCTGCCTACGAAACCCACGGATACGTCCAACCACCATCGCACAAGAACTCATCCTCCATGGTTGAGTACCCCTCCATCCTTCATACTCTAAGAAAACGACATGGTGTTCGAAAATAACCTCAATAGCATTTGCCCGAACACCTACTGGGCGTGGTGACCGCCATGGACGGCGTCGATAGGGGGACGGAGTGTACCTGCCTACGGACGTGTCCTGGGTGGACGACGCCGTTGTGAAAGGCGAGTGGGCGCGTCGGTGCTCGTTGCAGAGGTCCGGCAATGCCTGTGTGCCAAACGGAGAGGTACAACGGCGACGTCAGAGGAGGAGGAGGGTGCGGATGTAAAAAAAGGGGGAAGATTGGAAGAAAATGGGACCGGGAGGGGGGATTTAGTGGGCTGGGGGTGTTGGAGTCCTACGTGGCTGTTGTCCAGACTCCGGCAAAGCCTCCCCCCTCCCCCCAAAACTTTGTCTCCGTTTTACATGAAAAAGTGCATCCGAACTGCCGAGCGCACTGATACAGGCCCACGTTAGATGACACCACACATCCGGACCGCACGGTCCAAACGTATACGGGCAGTTTGAGGATCAGCGTTGGAGATACCCTTACTTGTTATCTTACCTGTTTGCACCATTGAGCTGTAGATGTGTTTGAGCATCAATAAACCCGTCCCTGTGGTGAACTATGACAACTCATATACTTTGCACTGATCAGTGGTGCATTTGAATTGTATAATTATTGTTGAAATCTTGTGGAAATATTTGTGCAACAGGACAAAAGAGATAAGCTACTAGAAAAGTTACGGGAGTCAAGTTTTAAGGGGAGGGTTGGGTGTAACAACCTTTAACTCCTCCAAATTCGAGGAGTTGAGTTTGGAGTGTCTTTTGAGGACATAAATTTTAGGCCAATGCTAGGCGTCGGTCGACCGGCCCAGATTTCGGCTGATCGTTGTGCGTGCGTTGGATTGATTGCTTCCACGCAGTCTGATTTGGTCAATGATTCGTTCTTCCCCCTTCGTCCACCTCGCCCACCACCACCACACCCCCTACCAGCAAACTGCATATGCGCGTGCGAGGGCTCCACTGTCATTCATCCAGCGCGTCGGGTCGTCGTCGTCGTCCGCCTCAGTGGGTGCCGTCACACACAGTCGTCGGAAGACTCGCGTGCCGCGCGTGGTCCCTGCATGAAGCACCGCAACCCTTCCCCTCCTCGCGCATCTCCCGCCGCCAGTCGAAGCCCCCGACCATCGCCTGTTGCAGCGCCACTATGAAACGGTTGCAGCTCCACTGTTGGATGCAACTTCGCCAGTGAGGGTTGCAACTCCCACCCACGTTGGCTGCAGCCTTTTCTGCCGCCCCGCTGGTTAAAGCTTTTTCGTCGCTCAATGGATGTAACCTCGCCGGCGGCTAGTTCCAGCACTGCTTGATACTGGTTCCAGCAAAAAAGATCTCGCCAGCAGCAAGCAAACATTCTTGCTGGTTCGAGGCTTCCAGCAAATTTTATTGCCGGTCCCAGCAAAATGATCCTCGATGCCATCTGGTTCCAGCATTGGTCCACGGTGGTTGCAGCTTTTTCGCCAGGTGGCTCCAGCAAAAGAATATCTACAGTTGCAGCATCGGAGCTCGCCGTTTTCGTCGGCAGCGGTGGCTGCTGGTTGTAGCAAAGCATCAGCCGCCGGTAGGCGCCGACACTAGCCGTTGCAGCACCGTGCTCCACCCTGTCGCAGCTCTGGTCATCGTCGAGCAGCGACAGATGCAGCTGAGAGAGAAAAACGAGGGGATGGTGCTGGCTCGACGGTTGGCTTTGTGGTGCTCACCGGAGAAGACAGCGAAAGAGAGGAGGAGGAGATCCCTCGGGCGCAACAGAGGAAGAAAAATCGGGCGAGTGGCTGAGAACGACCGCGAGAGAAGATAAGGCACTTACTTCTCATATTGCGTTTCCAAATTTAATCAATAAACCTTATGTCCAGTCTCAGCAAATACCGAATGAGTAATCGATTGTCAGGTCTCATGTAATCTCTCCGCCCTCACACAAACTGCATCAAAGAAACGATGAAAACGAAAGAAACTGAAATTGAACCAAGCACAATCCGTACTGCACAAAAACAGCTATATCCTATTATTTGAGGGAGATTTTTCCTCGGCATTTCCAAAATCAAACGGCACCTATACTACTACAAAAACTAAAGAATGTAAAATTATGTCCTCTAGCAGCTGAAGATAGTTCTGCAGGGAAGAAATCTAAGATTGATATCTTAAGCTTCTACTTTATATATCAGGCTAGTCCATGTCCTGTCTCTCTTCTTCCTTAGCCTCTCGGCAATGGCAAAGGCCAGCTCAAGCGACTGCGATGCGTTCAGCCTGGGGTCGCAGTGCGTGCGGTAGCGGGAACTGAGATCGTCGAAGGTCACTGTGTTGGATCCACCAATGCACTCTGTAACGTTCTGCCCTGTCATCTCTAGGTGAACCCCTCCGGGGTAGCTCCCCTCTTGCTCATGGACATCAAAGAAAGCCCGAAGCTCAGCCTGCGCAGCCATATAAAGAAACAGTGAAAATTCTGAACCATGCCATACCAAAGTTGGCAAGTCCGAACAATGCTATTGGATGTCTCAATCGCATGTGGTTCCAGAAAACAACAGTCCATGTCTCATTGTAACAAACGGCATGAAATACCGACCATAAGTAGGTTGTTCTATGTCGAATCATGCAAAAAGTTATCACGCTTACCCGGATTGCATCGAATGATCTTGTCTTGAGCCCGCAAGGTGCGCTGATGGTGTTCCCGTGCATGGGATCGCTGACCCAGGTGACAATCAGCCCTGCTTGACGCACGGCTCTGATCATATGGGGGAGCTTGGCACGCATGTTCTCGGCCCCCATCCTTGTGATAAGTGTCAGCCTCCCGGGCTTGTTGTGAGGATTCAAAATCTCACAGAGTTTCACAAGCTCCGATGAATCAAGCTTATCACTCACCTGTATAACATAGACAGAGTCATTAGATTTGTCAACTGATTTTTTTCCGTCTAAGACAGTCATAAGATTGTGACAAATAAGATTTAAAAAAAAAACTACTGTTCTTCATAGTTGTTAAAAACACGACAACTTTCATGTCATTAACAATATATGACAAAAGATGATTATCAACAGATAAACACTATACATAAACCTGGAGACCACAAAACTGAAAGATCTATACTTGACTTGTGAAGCATTGATGGTCGCCATTTGCAATGGAAGTTGAAGTACTTAAGAATTAAGATGTTTATGATTTTACGTGACCAACTCCAACAACGAAATGCAAACCTTCAGGACTTCAGTAAACACACATGTCATATGAAAAGATGTCACCGAAGACCATATGGAGGCAAGCGAACTCTGATGGGTGCTTTGGTTACCTTTATGCCGACAGGATTGGAAATACCGCGGAGGAATTCAACATGAGCACCATCCAGCTGCCTAGTTCTCTCCCCAACCCAGAGCATGTGTGCAGAGCAGTCGTAATAGAGGCCAGAAGTGGAGTCCTCCCTGGTCAGTGCCTGCTCATATGGCAAGTGAAGGCACTCATGGGATGTCCAGAATTCAGCTGTGGTCATCATGGGATGCTGAGGAGGCAGACCAGCAGCAAGCATGAACCCGATGGCATCATGAACCCTCTGGGCAAGCTCCCCATACCTGCTCAGAGAAGAACATAACGAGGTAAGATCTACTTTTATTGTATATAACAGGATGTCAGTGATCATATTTAGGCTGACTGATATTTCCTACAGAATCCTAGAGGATGAATACCTAGCTATTATTACACGTGACTGATGCTGTCCAGATTAGTGTGCTAAAACAAGTACATCAGTTGTTTGACAAAATCACTTTTCTGGACTTGAAAATTATCCACAAACGAGGTCAAAAGTAAAAATTAAACCAGAACCGTTGCATATATGTGCAAATACGGCAATGACATTGAATGGGGCATGAGCCGTGTGCTGGAGAAAGATTGATGGTAATTTTTGAATTCAGATGATATTTGCGGTGGGGAAAAGAGTTTTGCATAAAGGCTAACCACTTGATGAGATCAAGTAGAAATTTAATTACCTGTCTCCCTGCGTGCTGTGCCTCAGAAAGTCGAGGTTCCACTCGGTGACTCTCTGAAGATCAGCATATCCTCCATGGGCAAATGCTCTCAAAAGATTCAGGGTGCTCGCAGACTGACTGTAGGCTCTAATCAACCTTTGAGGGTTTGGTGCACGCGATTTCTCATCGAAATCGTCGTTGTTGATGATGTCCCCTTGATAGGACGGCAGTGTCACTCCATCTCTAGTCTCGATTGGGTTCGATCTTGGCTTTGCAAATTGGCCTGCCATCCTTCCAACCTGAAATACATAGTGCCACAAATCTTTTGTAGAACAGGAGAGATGTTTATATACAAAGATGGAGTGTGGATGGTTTTTCTGCCAATCATGGAAGGAGAACATTTAGAGGCATTTCTCTTCAGCATAACAAGAATCTTTATTTGTCAATACAAGTTCTCTTAATCTATAGATAAATGAACATGGTTAATCACTACATTTCATAGTTTTTTTTAGAACGGACTACATTTCATAGTTTCATGTAATCTATAGCTTTAATCAATTAGTACTAGTTTGCTTGCAGATGAATCGAATGCAAAATAGCAATAGATCATTTTACCATCCATTAAACCAGCAGTATGGGCACAATTATTGTCGGGGACTCCCCAACAGTTATTCCGCTCATGAGCAGTATACACAACACAACAATCTATGTTCTCGGCAAGACCTTTAAAACTGTAACGCCATAGGAAAGAGAGTAAAAAACTCAGGATGGTTGAGTCGATTCATAACAGCCTATGACAGTTTAAGAATCCATAAACATGACCACTTGTGTCATGATCTAGCCAGTAGTCACCTTTTCTGTGATTCTACTGAGATTACAAGTGTTTTCATTATAGACACTTGAATATCTGATGAAATTGTGGAGGCGGCAAAGTCTGAACTGCATTGAGGCTTACAGGAACCAAATCCCGATCCATGACAGGACTTGATCATCGCAATTCACAAGTCAGAAGGACATAAACCCTCGTTAATTGGGGGCGCGAATCCAACGGTAGGCTATTTGCGTAGGATCGTCAAATTAAGGAAGGGGTATGCCGTATGCATGGATGAAAGTGGGAGTCAGACCTTGACGATGGGCATCTGCCCCCCGAAGGTGAGGACGACGGCCATCTGGAGCATGAGGCGGAAGGTATCGCGGATGTTGTTGGCGCCGAACTCCTTGAAGCTCTCGGCGCAGTCGCCGCCCTGCAGGAGGAACGCCCGGCCCATGGCCGCCTCCCCGAGGCGCTCCTCCAGCGTCCGCGTCTCCCCCGCAAACACCAGCGGCGGGAAGGACGCCAGCGTGCGCTCAGCCTCCCCAAGCGCCGCTGCGTCCGGGTACTTCGGGATCTGCCGCGCCGGCCGCGCCCTCCAGCTGTCCGGCGCCCACCCGCTCGTCACCGCCGCCGCTGCCGACGACGACGCGCGCACCGACGGGCCCGTCCCGCGGCGACGCGGCGGGTCGGAGGAGGCCGACGAGGACCTCCGGCGGGCGGAGATGAAGGGCGACAGGTGCGAGGGCGCCAGCGGCGCTACGGGGAGAACGGGAGCCGCCATTGAGTGTGTGAACGGGGCTGATCTAGAGGCGGTTAGGCATGCCGCGAGAAGCTGTAAACGCGAATATATATGCAGTGGCGCGGCGGGGCCGAAGGCGGCAGTGCCACCCCGCTAGATAAGACGATCTTCTCGGTTCTCACGTCTTCCGTGTGATTTAGGCTGTGTTTGATAGCAAAGTACTGCAAAAAACAGAGTATTGAAAAACTGCAGTATTTTAACCCATTGGTGCAAGATACCATGATTTTGACATATCAAACTATTTTGGAGTTTTGATAATACAGCGACCCGTTTGGCTAGCGCCGTATGTAGCGATGTAAAATGAGTTTTAGCTAGCTCGGCGTTGCATGCAACTGATCGGCCATCATCCGCATGCACAAACTGAACGGCACTGCATGGCCATAGATATGGCTTGTAGCTTCCCTTGGAGGACGCTCAGCAACACGAAGTAGCCGACTTATCACCGTCGAGTCATGGTGGAGCTGCGTGTGGAGGTAACACGTCACTCTCTGCAAATGGCGTTGCTGGTCGGAAGCTGCGCAAGTGCGCGTGGACTGAACGGCCTGACCTTCATCCATATTATCGTCGAGGGGAACCAGGAGCTGACCATGAATTGTAAACGGGTGGCCAAGATGGTGTTCGTCATGTCCACAACTAGCTCCAAGCCTTCTGTGCCACTGACTCCTCGTGTATCGCCGTCACGCCGCGCCCAGGTGTTTCTCTACAGCCTCTCCACCATGACAATGTTCCATGGCCTCGCGGTGCCAAGCATCGGCATTCGTCGTCATGCGAGGGTCACTCCGTGGCATGACCTCCACCGCATAGTCTACGGCAAGGAACGTAGCCAGGAGGTAACCGGCGACCTGTGCAGAGAGGCAGGAGGATGAGGATAAGTGTATTTATTATTGTTCTTTAATTTGCTGTCTCTTGGTTTGTCCATGGCCGCCGAAGTAGAAGATCTTCAGAGACGGCAGCGCGGCGATGGCTTGGAGCGAGGAAGAAGTTGAAGACACCTGTTTCTTTTGCGTGCTCTGTTTTTAAAAAAGAGGTATGGGGTTCTTTTTATTTAACAGAGAAAATACTCTAGTTTTGGAAATACCACAGTATTAATACTGCAGTTTATTGGGTAGCCAAACACCTCACAGTAAATTAAACTGTAGTATTTTCAAAAACTGTAGTATTATCAGAATACTTTGAAAAAACTTCGCTATCAAACGGGGCCTTAATAACAAACAAAAATAAAATAAAATTCGTTTAGTTATTTCCAAATTTTATCATTTTTTGATTATGTAACTTTCTCACTTTAGAGATAATACAAGCTATATCGTAACTTAATTTGTGTTAACAAGTTGCTTACTTGCAGTAAAAAAAAAACAAGTTGCTTACTACCACTCCATTCTTTGTAAATACTTGTGTGTATACAAAGCATTACAAAGATATGTGACGATTAAAATTAGTTAGTAAAACAATACTATGTGATAAAAGGATGTCATATACTCCCTCCGTCTCATAATATAAAAGCATTTTACACCAGTGTAGTGTAACTCTTATATTATGAGACGGATGGAGTAATAATATCATTAAAAGAACTGACTTAGTATTCCTCATTTGAAGTGATTGTCTCTTTGCTAAGAAAAAAACGAACACCTATTTTGTTTTCTATCTCTTTCAAGCCATCAATCATCACACTCGAGAAAAGCCAACAATCCATAGCTCCACAATGAAATTGATGGCATCATCTCTAGTATCGTGTTCTCGTGAATTACGACTCCACGAGAGACAAGAAAGTATCACATACTCTTGTATGTGATCTTTCAGGCCTAAAACCTTCACTGAACTTGTAAAAATATCTAGAAAACGAATAAAAGTGTGCACAACATGTATATATTTTGTCACACTGATTAATAAAAATATTAATTAACAAACAAAATGAAAAAAATCAATGTTTTCTTTGTGGAAAAACTTCTGATCTATTTATCTTCGTGGCCTACAAGTATTTTTTCGACTTTAATGACGCGATGAAAGCAGAGATTCATGCTATGATGCAGGGCATGGCACTAGCCCAGCAACAAATAGAACTTCCAGTCATTATGCAATCGGACTCGTCCACAGCCCTAACTATCTTCAGTGATGGGCCAATAGTCCGGTCTCAATATGGGCACCACGCGTTGGAGATTCTAACCTTACAAGATGTTCAGGAGTTTATTCCTCAAAAGCTTATTGTTCTTAGAATAGAGTGGCGGGTCGTTTAGTGAGGTAGTCTTACTCAATGTAGCGTTGTTGTTTTGCTACACAAAGGGCATCCATATACCGAGGAATTCTCACCTCCGCACTGTAACTCTATAACTGTGGAATACTTTCTTTCAACCAGAAAAAAAACAAACACCAAAAATAATAAAAATTACATCCAGCTCTATAGACCACCTAGCGACGTCAGCACTGAAGAGAGCTGGAGGCGCGCTACTGTCATCGCCCCTCCGTCACTGGAGCGGGGCAAAACTTGTTGTGGTAGAGAGTCGGGAAGTCATTGTGCCAATGTCCCATAGGACCAGCGCAGCAGAAAAATAACCGTCGCCGATGAAGAGAATCCTAGATTGGAAGGATCTAACCTGAAGACGCACGAAATGTAGATGAATGAAAACCGAATCCGAGTAGATCCACCAAAGACCACCACCGACGCAATCCTTTGAGATCTTCCGAAGACACACTTCCACGCGCCCTAGGTGAGCCGTCATGCTACTGAAGTTAGATGTCTCCAAAGTGTTTGACCCGATCGATTAGGCCTTTCTACTTCAAGTGCCAGTCGGGATGGGCTTTGGCCTACGACGGACAGTGTGGATCTGTGGGTTGCTTTCAGCTGCCACTGCCCATGTGCTCGTCAATGGCGTGTCAGGTCCCACCATCTGCAACGTGTGTGGCCTGCGACAACGGGACTCTCTTCCGCTGATGCTCTTCATCCTGGTTATGGAGGCCCCGCAGCACATGTTTAACTATGCTGATAGGCAGTGCATGCTCCCACCCTTGCCAAGCATGGACCCGCACACGGGTTATCCTTCTTCGCGGATGACGTGATGTTATTCCTCCAGTCGACTGCCACAGATATTGTTGTTTGTGCGGCCATCCTCAACGACTTCGGACAAGCGGCAAGGCTGAATGTGAATGCGGCAAAGTGTAGCACAATACCCATTAGATGCACGGAAACGGCGATAAATCTCATCCACCAGGGGCTCGACTATGTTGGAAATATGCCCTAGAGACAATAATATTTGTATTATTATATTTCCATATTCACAATTAAGGAGTTTATATCCTATGCTATAATTGTTATGATCCTGGAATATGCAATTCAGTGAAAACTCATATGCACATATAGGTGATAAATGGTAAATGAAAAAGTTCCTATTCTCACCTCTAAGACTAGCTCAAGTGTTGTTGGTGATCATGTTTTCCAGATCTTAGGATATTGTTAAGTGTAATGATAATCCTAAAACAACATTGAGATTATGACGTTAGAAGAACGATCATATTGAATTGACCCAATCTTGTTTCTTATGAGTTGAGTTAATATCGTCTGCATTCCGTTGTAATAACACAGAGGGTTAATGTGTGATATTTCTCATTAGATCATGAGAGTATCATGGTCGCTTCTTACCGTACGATGGGCTTTGGGGTTGCTTAAACATCACCTGTAACACGATGATCATAACGACAACTTACTGGTTCATCAGAAAGTTTGACAAGTGACCGGATAGCTCGAGAGTGGGATTTTCTCCTCCGATGATGGAGCGATATTATTAGGGCCCTCTCGGTGTGATGACATAAATCATTGTCTGTCCAGACACACGTGACTTAGTCACGGGGATGCCGGAACACAATAACGAGAAAGAAGAACAAAATCGTTAACGAGGATTTCGGTATAGTGAGCATGGTGATGACTCGGGAGGATATCGATGCATCTCGGATTTTGTAAAGTACCGCGAAGGTTCACTCAAATATCATTCGTTTACTCACAGGGATCGATACAGACATCCACGATCCCTTTGCCGGTCATTGGATGAAAGGTTTCGTCCATGTCTGTGAGTTACCGAACCTACGAGTGTCGGTGTCAAAATCGGTAGATCTCGGGTAGGGGGGCCCAAGCTGTGCGTCTGAGGATCAATGGTAACAATGGACAAAGGGACACAGTGTTTTACCTAGGTTTGGGTCCTCTTAAAGGAGGTAACACTACTGCAGGATGGTGCTAACGCAACACTACGATCAGAGACCCTTCGAGAAACTGTGTGCGATGCAATGTTTGGTTTTTCTTTCAAATATTTTTTCTTTTCTTGCAATTCCGCGAACCGTATATAGTTCAATGAGAAACAATGCTTTCTAATATTCACGAATTGGATTCGAACCAATGTCCCCTGACTCCTCTACCGAATAAGGATCGTGATTCACGATGACGTATGCATCAAACATAGTTCAGATTTTGGTTCCGTGTGCGATGCAGGGCATACATTTTTGTTCAATTAACTGTTTGCGACGAGGAGGAACAAAAGAAACGGGCAGCCAGATGAAGGCGTGTGCGATACACAGCATATGGTTCACTCGGATGAACAATTTGTGATGAGGTGAAACAACAGAAACGGGCAGCCAGATGAAGGTATGTGCGATATACGACATACAGTTCACTCGGATGAATTGTTTGCGTTGAGCCAAGAGAACAGAAATGGTTCAACTTAACAAGATGTGTGTGATACGTGGCAAACAAGTCTGTAATTAAAAATGTGTGGGAAGACTGATAACAACACAGACGATTCCTATTAACAAGCCATGTGTGTTGTGAGCAAACGATTGCTAGTATACAATCGTCAGTGATTGATGAAATCATCACCGGCGGGTTCCCTTGTTTAGTCCGTGTACGATGTGATTTGCTCTGTCTACAGAGTATCAACAAATATACTTAAAAAGACAACATTGCATAACCAAATTAAGCATACAATTAGACAAGTGACTACACA